TTCTCTCTCTCTCTCTTTCTCTGTCCCACTCCCTCCCTGTGCACACACCACGAAAAAGTGATGTGAGCACATAGCCGCCTATAAGGCAAGAGAAGAGATCTCAGAATAAAACCCACCTTGCTAGCACTTGATGTTGGACTCCCAACCTCCAGAACTGTGAGAAATAAATTTCTGTCATTTAAGTCACCTAGTCTATGCTGTTTTGTTACGGCAACCTGAGCAGACTAAGATAATGTATTATTATCTTATTTGCAAATAAGTCTAAAACATTTTCCTTTTTAAGAACTGGATGCTTCATTCATGTTATATTACTAATCCTCACACAGATAAACATAAGCAATGACCAATAAATAAATCTTTTTGCTATTACTATTAATGACTATTACAATTTATTGAAGGCTCCCTAAGACTAAATCTCACAACCACCTCTGGGAGGTACTATCATTTCTATTTTACAGATGAGAAAACTGCAGTGCCGAGATGTGGAGTGACATACCCAGAGTCAATTAATTAATGAGAGCAGAAGCCAGGATTGAAATCTAAGTCTAGTCCCAAGCTGGCAAACACGCCCCCTGTGCCATACTGCTGAGGTATAACGAAAGAGATGAAGCATGCTCAAGATGACCCCAGCCCTCAAGGAGCCCATACTCTAGTTAGGAAGACATGGCAAAATAACTGAAAAATTAAATGGTGATAGAAACAGACTGATAGAATAAATGGAAATATGTCACAAGTTAGAGTGTTCTCTACCTCCCATACAGAGTTCCCAAAATTTATTTGTCCATGAAACTTATCTTTATGTCATACCTATTAAAATCTCAAGTCACTGTTTCAAAGAATATAATTTAGGAAATCTGGTCTAGTTCATGGGTTCACTAGAGCTTTTAATTCAGAGGAGGAAGCTGCTGTGGTGTGGGTGGGCAGAAGCGAGAAGAATTAAGTCATAAAAACAAGTAAACATATTTCTTGAATCCAAATCCCAGAAATTCAAAGGACCTAAGACAATATTTTTGTTTGCTTTTTTAAAAAAAACATTCATTGAATGTGTGAGCGATTTCCATTTATTGACACATTTAATCCTCACAACATTCTCTTGAGGTAGACATTATTATGATTTCCAGTTTACGGCAGAGAACAGAAGCCTCTGTGTTACCCAACGGCACGTCAGGGAGCCAGGTTTTAAACCCACAAAGTGCTGGTTCCAGAGCCAAAGCAACCGAGCACTTTCCTCTTGAAGGCAGCTTCATTTTAAACGAGTCTCTTAGGCAAGTCTGATATGGGCAGGATGGAATAGGGTGTGAGAAGCTAGCTGATGACTATAAAAGTAAGCTGAGTCTAGATGGCAGTTCTCAAACTTTAGTGTGCATCTCAGTCCCCTGAAGGGCTTGTTAGCACATAGATTGCTGGCCCAACGCCCGGAGTTTCTGATTCAGTAGATCTGGGGTTGTCTCTGAGAATTTGTATTTCTAACAAGTTCCCAGTTGAAGCTGATGCTGCTGATCAGGGGACCACATGTTGAGAATCACCAGTCTAGACTAGACTAGGGGAGAACTTGAGTATGATGTGAAGTAACTTGGGTTTTATACAGTGAAGGGTTTGTGTGCATGTACTGTTTTTATTTTTTGGACTAGAATAACATTACATGATACAAAATTCAAAAAGTACAGAGGGTATATGATAAAAGCAAGGGTCCCTATATACTCTACTACCCAGCCCCAAATTCTTTTCCCAAAGCCATGCACAGTTGCAGGTTCAGGTGTCCTTCCAGGCTTGGGGAACAGAGGGAAGCACTGTGTTTAGCACTCAGGTAATTAGAACAAAGTTCACTTATTTTCTTGCAATTATAGCAGTCTAGTAAGTAGACTATGAAAATTTGCCATTTGTAGACTAAACATTTGGATCAGAGAATTAGAGAATTTTAGATGTAGGTGGAACTTATAAATGAGGAAACGAAGCCACGGAGAGGTTAAGTAACTTGTCCAAGTTCACACAGTAAGCGGTGTAGCCAGGGTCACACCCATGTTGTCTGACTCCAAAGTCAGTGCTCCTTGCACTGTCCCTCAGGAGTCTGAGACCCATACAGAAGAAAGGATTTACCCAGCTTTGCATAGCTACTTAGATTTTCTGATTCCCAGCCCAGTGGTCTTTTTGACCATACTCTGTGAAGGAAGGACTTTTTAAAATACCCATTCAGATTTTCAGTTTCTTGCTCTTGTCCAAGACAAAGCCAAGAGAGAGAAGGCTCAGCATGCAGTTTCTCTTCTTATGGGAGATCCTTTGACTCTAGAGCAATGGGACCCATTAAATTACCAAATATTACAAAATGTGTGACTCAACTATCACATATATTAAGAGGCATCATATATAGTTCAATTAACAGCTTAGCTTTGAAATCTGGAAACTTCTCTCAGCCTCAGTTTCTGTATCCATTGATGGGGAGATCATAATACACATCTAGTAGTGTTAGTGGGCCTGTAACTACATAAGAAGGCATGTAAGGCAGCAATCATGGTGTCTGTCACAACGTGAGCACACACAAGAAAGTTTTTCACTATTTTCATGACACATTCAATTTTTAGAGCAGCTGGAACTCCCAGGCACAGACTAAGAGTCAATAACAAAAATAATCAATTTTACAAGTCATGGAATCTATTTCGACTACGAAAAATGTTAAAAAGTGAATTCTTCCAGCAAATTTTTAATAGTTGAACTATTAACAATTACCAAAGACAAGTCTAATCCTGAAACGTTCTATGTGCAGAGTGAGAATGTTTTTGGTCACTGCAACTGGTCTTAACATTTCTAGGATTATGGTGCCCAGAAGATTAGGTAGAATGTTTCATAAAAAAATAGACTATTCCAGCCTTTTCAAAAGACTTTCTGCATGTGACCTGGGGTGCCATTTAACAGGAACATAATCAAATTTCATCTCTAGTCTGTGCACTAAACTTTTGATCTATCGATTCTGAATTTCTTAAGGAAAACAAAGCCATTATTATTATATGATTATTATTATTTTACTTTTTTAGGTTGCTTATTAAGGTCTACTATTAAAGGTATACTAAATTTTAGAAATATAGTCCTTTTTGCCATACATGCAAATACAAAACATGTGTATGCGGGTGCTACCTTACGGTGAGAACAAAAGGTAGACGATAGCTGTCTTAACTTTACCATCCAAACCACGGTGTGACAGAACAGAAATCTTCAAACATTTTTGTCTTAGGATCCCTTTACACTCTTAAAATCCCTGGTAATCTTAAAGAACTTTTGTTTCTATGGTTTATAGTCCTATTGGTATATTATAAATTAAAACAGGGGTTTTTAAAATAGTTATTTGTTCTTAACAATAAAAAACCCATGACGTGTGAATAACATTTTTATGCGAAGTAACTATATTTCCAAAAGAAAAACATTTAGTGAGAAAAGTGACATTGTTTTAATTTTGGAAATCTCTTCAACGTTTGGCTTAATAGAAGATAACTGGATTCTCATATCTGCTTACGTATTCAATCTGTCACAACAGATTGTGTGTATATTATTTTCCTGAATTATGTCAGAAAAACCCAACCTCACACAGGTACAGTTAGAAAATGGAGTAGTATTTTAATAGCTTTTTGGATAATTGTGATTATTCTTTGATACTATACTAAAACTCAACAAGTGGTAGTTTATTAGGGGATAATTGCAGTGTGGAATCTGAAATTATATCAATGAACTTTTCTTACTCTTCATACCAATACATTAAAATCAGCTGGTGTATTTTGCACTTTCAATGGGTCTTTTACTCATGTCTGATTTTGTAACTCATACATTGGTTATTTGGAAAATGTGGCTTCACTGAGTTAAACAGATTTTCCAAATGTTGACACATTTCACAATGTAGTATCAACAAATCACTTTCATTAATTTCACACAAGTCTTATCAGAAAAGGCTTTAAGTATTGGGAAGCTGTCAAGTTCATGGTGGCAGAAACAAATTTTCCAAAATTCTAACTTTTGCTCGATAGCTCAAATTTCATCGCTGGCAACAAATACTGTCAGTTCGTTTCCTTGAAGCGTCAAGCTCACTTCGTTCATTTTTGACAAGATGTCTGCCAAATACCCACGTATGAATAACCATGGTTTGTCAGTCAGTCTTCCTCTTCTTCTTCTTTTTTAATAGACATTATTTTTAGAGCTGTTTTAGGTTCACAGCAACATTGAGCAGAAGGTACAGAGATTTCCCATGCTTCCTCCCCATTTCCACCCTCAGTATACACAAATCTGTTAAATTATGGATTTATATTATTCTTCACACTGAGATGTGGAGCAAGAAACCTATAAAATGGCCTTTCACAGTTTTAGAATGAAGATAGCTTACTGATCTCTCATTTTACATAAGTTGTAAACAAAAGCATTTCAGTGAAACACTGATAATTATATATATTTCCTAAAGAACTATAAAATTAGAAATAAGTTGCTTTCCAATAAATGGAATATGTTTTGTCCTTAAAAAATAATGATGATCTTTCATCTTGAAGCTTTTAAAAATGCAAGCTAAAACAGACGCTTATCTCTTTAGCTTCTAAAAGTACATTAAACTTCTACAAATACCAAATATTACTAATAGTATAATGGCAAAATATACATACTGCAGAGCCTTATAAAAATTGATTTGATTTTGTAGGACATATTTTATGCAGTTAAAAACACCAAATTAACTATATCTGGAAAATTACAGGCAACTGAAGGTCTGGGTAATCACTTTGCTTATGAAAGAGTCACAGTTAAGTATTTCTCATGATATTATATAGTTGGGTGTCAATGCAGTGTTCAGATATAAAACTAAATTAAGATATATACAAATATATAACCAAATAAAATATGGTCTAAAATAAGTTTACACATGAACAAGATTATTAACATCTCTAGTAGAAAATGTTTTGAAGGGGAAAACTCAAGTTATCCCTCTGTTTCTGGCTTTAGAGAGGCTGACTGGTATGAAATTTGGCACTTACTTTCCGATTGTATTGGGTAGTATTGTCAGTTGATTGTCATCTACTTTTAGAGTAGTTAGCTTTTTCAACAGTCCTAAAACAGAGAAGAAGGTTTATCAATACATAAGAACAGATTTCTGATGGGAAATACAATATGAAAGAAATAAAAGGAATCGCTGTGATGAATGTGTGTCAGCTAATTGGCTGCATTCTGCTTATATAAACCTACAAACTGATATTTGTGTGTAGTCTAGTTTTGACCTTCCATTTGCAAAACATTTACTTACATCAATGGGAGTTCGAGTACACCAACGCAAACAAGTAAACAAAACATAGGGCTCCATAGAAACTTGAGTTGACAGTAACACCACATTTCCCTTTTCTATTATGCAGCAAATGGACCAGATGAAATTTTTCAAGCCAGCTGTGATTTAATATTTAATTAACTCCTAAGCTCTAATAACTAAAATTCCTGTTGTGATACAAATTGAAAACAAATCCAAATTAAGCCTAATAATCAACGAATGGGTACTGAGGTATTGCAATGCAGTGGTTATAATTATGGACTTGGAAAATTACAACATATGACCTCATACTCTTTTTGTTACCATAAATCCTTGACTTGGATCAGCAGTAAGCACAAAAACTTGCAGTTTTTAATACACCAAGTAGAATTGGCCAAGAATTGACGTTCCAACTATTTATCTTTCACTGTCTGATTTATGCCCTCATACCCTTCCTGCTTGCTCTCCTCTCGGGGTTTTAATGAGAATTAGCCACAGAGTAATTGAAGAACAGCTTCTACCCAGCCATAACATAACCTATAATATCAATATGGCTTAAATAGCCAAAATCCAAGGACAAAGCATTAACAATTGGCTAACTTTTGCTTTATGTTGGAAATATGCCTTATATGCTACAGACTGCTTGTTTTGCAGAACGCTTGTTCTGATGGACAGAGTAGGTTCTGTGGTCAAATGCACTGGGGAAACGCTAAATTAAACGGATTTCTTTAATGAAGTTTTTCAAGTCGGTTTTAATATACTAATGTAGCAATGTGACTCTCCAAAGCTACCGTGGAATCCACATGCACACACAGAGCATCTTGTCCAGGTAGAGTTTCGCGGACATCCTTTGAGATGCAGTGCTGTGCATCATGCCCATTCACTTCAAGTCTTCTGAGGATTCCTTAAAGGCATAGAGTAAGTCACCAAAAATCTGAAATAAAGTTGTCGTTGCCCTTTAAATTTCAGTATGCTCACTTACCTATTCTGCAGAAGCACTCAGAATCTCTACTTTAGTGGAGAGAAATGTTATGACTATCAGACTGTCGTGAGAAAATATCTACAATATTGGAAGCTTAATACATCAGCTTGTGCCTCTAGGACACAATGCTGAAAACAGCAGCACCTGGGAAAGAGGACAATTCACACTGAGGTCATTTGTCTCTGAAGTTGAACACCCACTGCCATATTCATCTATGTTCAAAGGGTGACTGAATCACTTTAGCTTCTCCAGTGTGTATATGTTAAAATGTCAGCCTTGGAAACACAAAAGAACTCCTGAGCCTGCTCATCAATTGTGAGAAGAATACAGGGGACTATGAATTACGGCTAAATTTTGTGTGACCTGGTAGCCACGATCAAACCACTGCCCCCGCCCACCAAAGGAGCTGGAGGAGGCTGGCAGTCTCCATCTCTCTTGATTGAGTCATAGAGGTTTTGGGCTGGGTTACAGATGGCTGAGCAGATGCCATGAAGCCAGGCTGCAAAGCACTCTTTAAGAGAATCATAGTCTCTGGGTGTGAAGCTGTGGTGAGAAAATCTTCAGGCAGGTTAGGGACTAAGGCCAAAAGGCTGACGAAACAGATTTTTTTGAAGAATGGAATAGTGATTCTCACAATTGACAGAAACTTCTATAGCTTTAAAGGCTGAAGCAAGTTGGCCTCACTGCTTAGTTCTGAGTTCCACATCTATGGATTTGAAGGGACCTCACTTATCTGTGTTGTGGCTACTTTGTCACTCACATACTCCATCCAAGGGGATACTCTTTGGACAGATTCTGAAGCTTCTGTGGAATCTGATTGTCCTTGGAGTGGAAATAGGCCATTAGCCTCACCTCCATTGTTCTGACTTCCTCTGGCAGACAATTCCTTTCTTACGTTTCTATGTCATATCTGCTTGGACACTCTTCTATCTTATAGGAACCAAAGGTATTTTATCCTCTTCTGTCTCTCCACTTGTGCCCTTCCTGAATTCCACACCTCTTTATCCTATACACCCAACTAAGAAGTACAGGAGAGAAAGAAAAAGGAGGCCTTTTACTATGATTTTAGCTACTTATGTATAAATATATAACAAGCAGCAATGTATTAAACATTAATATAATGTTATCAAAAATAGCCAATATTTACATGGCATTTATGCACATGTAATAGAATTTTAAAAGCCAAAATAGTTATGCACTCATCAAATCTAGGATCATAATAATTGTTACATTATTATAATAGCTAACACTGAGCACTTACTCCATGCCAGGTACTGTTTTAAGCAATTTTACATATAATAATTCTTTTATTGCTCAAAATAATCTCATGATTCAAGTACTGTTACTATCCTACCTAATGGATGATGAAATTGAGGCAGAGAGGGAGTAAATAGCTTGTCTAAGGTCACACAGCTAGTAAGGTAGAAACAGAATTTGAACTCAGGCAACTCAACTATAAAACCTGTGTCCTTAACCACTAAGTGAATAACATAAATTATTTTGGAAAGTAAAAACAATTCTATTGTCCATTACTGAGTTTCTGTGCTATGCGAAGCAGAGATTTCATTGAAGAGACTGTTAACCCTCCATATAGAAGAGGAGAAGAGCCCCCTTCATCTTCCCTGGAGCCAGCACAATCAGAGGACGCAGCACCCAGGGCTTGTTGTTGACTCTGTCACTTCATTCAAATCCCTCATAGTTGCAGAACTAAAATAGTGTGAAGAAAGTAAAGATTTTGTTTTATTTCCCATTTCCCTTTATTAATACTATGAAATTTCTCATTTTTTACTCTTTTAAATGTTGGTAGTCCAATAGATAATCTATGATCAAATAAAGAAGACAAGATGCAATCTCCCATCCAATCAGCATCAATGAATTATCTTAGGGTCTTAGAAAAGAGCCTTAGTCCCCTCTCCCAGATATTTCTCTTGACCAAGAAGGGAATTCCCAGAGGAAAGTCAGCCATGCTACATGTATCATCATGGACTCTAGAGACTGCAGATGTATAAATACAATTTTCCCTGAAAGGTAAGTAGGGCTCAAAGATAGTTCAAGGAGTAAACTACTATAACAAAGTTAGTTTCTTAATTTGAGAACCATTCGGATTCTAAATGAAGGTGTTAAATCTATAATACCACCTGCCTGTCACAGGCTGTTTTAAGCCAGCCAAATATCTAATCTGATGTTTTCTATCACCTTTACAGGCTGCCCTCCCCAGGCCAGAAGGCTAATTTCCTAGTCTGCCTTCTGAAAGGAAGATATTTTAAACAAAGAATTATATCATCTTTTATTTCACTATGTGACATTTTCATTTCCAGGATTTATAATTGGTTCTTTTTCATAACCACTTGTTCTTGGTCATATCACCTGTTTTGTTTTATAACTTCTTACTGTTTTTAGGAATGTTATTCTTCCTTTGATCTGTTTGAGGATCCACACATACTTAAAATCATCTTGACACTGCTTGATAACTTCGGTTTCCCTTGGGGTAAATTTTCCTATTTGTTTGAGTTTTTGGTTGTCAAAACAACATTAGTTTTCCTTTAAGAATGTGTTTGCATGCTTATTTGTGAGGGTGAGGTTTCCTCATTACCTATGCTAACCCCTCCCTGTCGGGCAGTTTTATGGGGACCTCCACCTGACTCCCGAGTCTCTGGAGTTCAGAAGCAGGTCTTATATCAGAAACATGGTAGTCTCACCATGTCTCACCCAAGTGGATATTGCAGATCCAGTCCAAACCAGCTTAAGACTTGCCATGGTTTTCAGCAGTGAACCTGTTATCTGTTCTCTCCACATATTAGTTGTAGGTTTTTTTCAGTCTTTCTTCACAGAAAAGGGGTTCCTGCCTCAATCTCCTGTAAGTTTGGGTTTCCCTGTTACATGTAAGGTGTTATTTTTTTCTTTCCACTGCAGGAACTGAACTTATGACTGCCACTGCTATTTGTGGTCTGGAGTCCATCAGGCTTGGGGTTATTGCTGTATTTCCATTCGATCTCAGGTTCAGGTCAATGTTCATTCTTCTTAAGCATAGATAAATTATTTTATTTACTAAATTTTTAAGCAGCACTTACCATATACCAGGAATAGTTCTTGGTGCTGAGGAGGCAGTAATGAACAAAAATATATTCTTCAAATATAAGTTTTTCTCTATCTCATTATGTCTTTGAAGAGGTATGGAGTGGTGATTGAGTAGGAGTGTAAGGTATGTATCTTGACCAGATGGTTATCTTGACCAAATGACCATTTCTGACCAAAGGACGCTCTTTTTTCTTTTTTGGCTGAGGAAGATTAGCTCTGAGCTAACATCTGTTGCCAATTTTCCTCTTTTTTTCCTTGAGGAAGATTAGCCCTGAGGTGACATCTGTGCCAATCCTCCTCCACTTTATACGTGGGTTCCCACCACAGCATGGCAGCTGAGTGGTGCACCTGGGATCTAAACCTGTGAACCTGGGCTGCTGAAGTGGAGCACACTGAACTTAATCACTAGGAAATGGGGCCAGCCCCCAGGATGCTCTTTCTAACCGTTACACTTCCATACCTTCTACAACATAAAACAGTATTTCCTAAACTTATCTGATCATAAGTTTCATCTAGGATGTTTAACAAACATATAGATCAGAAGGCCTAACTATAAACTTTCTGAATCAGAATTTTCAGAGAAAGAGGCTGGAAATGTAGAAGTGTTTAATAAAGTTCTCAGATAAGTCTTATGCTGGAGAAAGTTGAGGAAATACTGTTATAACATGTGCAATTCTATAAATCAAAAAGTCATAAGATCCAGAAAGAAAGAAAAGCTAGTCTGTTTTGTCAAAACTAGTATTCCCTATTAGCCTGCAAGAATGGTGAAAAGAGAAACAATAAAATGTTGAAGAAAAATTTGGGAAATGGCCATGTCTTTTAGGTCCCCTTCAGTCAGGCTACCTAGGTTGTGACTTAATTTTCAGAAGCACTAATAAGTTCCAGAACATATGACACATCTAATTCAAAGAGTGTTAAAAACCACATCCCAAAGGTAAGCAATTTGATGATTATCCTCCTAGCCGAGTCTTCTCATAAATAATAATAGCAAGATATCTGTCCAAAAAGGTTTACTCATTATTAAACTTAGATTCTTTCATTGTTTTACTCATATAAAAATTTGTAACAAAAATAGATTGAGTGCTCAATATACACTCAAATTACCTCCCCTCATGAATCTTAAAAAGCATATTAAAGACAATGTTTTTTTTTAAAAAAGAGAACTATGAAGATATTTTATATTTATTATACATCTTCACGTTATTCCTAGATTATAGCAATGTTACAACAATATTAAAAGTAGAATATAGCAACACTGAGGACAGAAGCTACTGTAATTCTATAGTGATAAAAGGAGACATATATGGCTATCGAATTACTTTAAAGCTAAGATATATACTCCTTACAGTAACATTTTACAACTTAGGAGATCTGGAAAATGTGAAAATATACCAACTGAGGAGGATCATCTTAATAGGAGATGCTTCTTGAATTTGATGAGTTACAATTTCATTTTAAGGTATTTGTAAAACACTATTTTATCTTCTTGAATGATGAACTTGCTAATTTACTAATATCAGGCTGACCATATATTCCCTATGTCTATAGACAAACTATACACCAAAAAAGAAAGTGGCACATTTGCCATAAACATTCATGACAAAACATTATATTCTCACCTATAGAGTCAGGCAACTGCTGCAACATATTGGATGACAGCAAGAGGTCCTCCAGGGCTTCACATCCAGAAATATCCATGTCAACCGTTTCTATTCTGTTTTTTGACATATCCAGGTATATCAACATCTTTAACTTCCCTATATTCTTGATGACATTGCATAAACTCAGGGTTAGTTGAGAAACTTTCACAAGACATTTTAAAGTTGTAAAAACCACAACACTGTAAAATTAATTTTAAAGGCAATGACAACAATAATAAGTGTTGGCAAGAATGTGGAGAAATTATAACCCTCATACATTGCCAGTAAGAATGTAAAATTGTGCAGCCATTTTAAAAACAGGTTGGCAGTTCCTCAAAATGTTAAACGTAGAGTTGCCACGTGACCCAGCAATCCCCAGATCTATACTCAAGAAGAAAGCACATGTCCACACAAAATACCAATGTTCAAAGCAGCATTATTCACAACAGCCAAAAAGTGGAAATAAACCAAATGTCCATCAGTTGATGAATGGATAAAAAAATATTTATATGATGGAAAATGATGAAATACTATTTGGCAATAAAAATAAATAAAGTACTGATACATGCTACAAAACAGATAAACCTTGAAAACACATGCAGTGAAAGATGCCAGTCACAAAAGACCACATATTGTATGATTCCATTTATATGAAATGTCCAGAATAGGTAAACCTATAGAGACAGAAAGTAGATTAGGATTGCTAGAGGCTGGGGGGCGGGGGCGTGGCAGTGACCACTATTGGCTTCAGGGTGTCTTTTAGGGGTAATGAAAATGTTCTAAAATTAGACCGTGGTGATGGCTGCACAACCATGTGAGTATTCTAACAACCACTGAATTGTCTACTTTAAATGGGTGAATTTTAGGGTGTGAGAATTATATCTCAATATAGCAGCTAAAACACAATAATCTCAAAGTTGTAACCAAATTAATTAAATAAACAATGCATGTTGACATCTTGATTCTTACAATTTCAAATGCATAAGAAGGGTTTTAAATTGTGATTTAGACTTTATCCTACTAGGAAGCTTCAATATTTTGTTCATTCAATCTTTCTTTTTGAGGATCTAATATGGACCAGGATTTACGTTAAATATTGGAGAACAATCATGAACAAGTCAGCTAAGGATGGGGAGAGACTTGTCATGATAAGGACAAAGCTTTTATTCTTAAGGAGCTCACAGTAGTGAAGGAAACTGTCAAGTAAACAAATAATTATAATATCCTGTAATATGTACAATAAAAGAAGCATGCAGGGAATGCCATAGAAGCACAGGGCTGCAAATTGCCTGGAAGATGCTGCTTGTCAAGAAAAAGAGAATCTGTATCTGGAAGAGAGACCAGAACATACATTTACAGAAGTGTGCAAAAGCATGGCGTATTTGAGGAATAGTGGGAAACGCAAAGCAACTGAATAGAGTGATCAAGTCAGGATTATAAGAAACCAGCTGTTAAAAGGCCTTATGTGTTATGTGAGGAGATGTGAACTCTATCTTATAGGCAAGAAAGGCTACTCAAGGTTTTTAAGATGGAGAATGACACGATCAGATTTGTGCTTTGAAATAGTAACTTCAGGGAACTGTGAAGGAAAGATTCATAACCAGACTCAGAGAGACCCATTAGAAGGATCTGGAAGCAGTTTAGCTGAGGCGATGAGAGGGACCTGTATTAAGGCAGCAGAAGTGCAGATGAAGAGGGGATGGGCTCAAAAAAAGTTTAGAAGTGGAATGATGGGATTAGCACCATCACTGAACAATTGGATTGCTGAGGACAGGGGAGGAGTCAAGTCATACCCGGGGCAAGGAGTGAATAGTGATCCCTTAGCTGGGACACGGACTAGAGGAGTTAGAGCAAGATGAAAGTCTTCATTTTCCTTTTCTTTAGGGCATGTTTTGCAAATAAATGTGCCACACATATCCATGTTCAGTGGTTCATCTGTTTGTCTGGTCTACTTGTGTACACTTTACTACATTGTCGCTACTTATTTGACAGAGTATAAATAAACAAACAAATAACAAATAAATAAATGTATTATACATACACACGAGCACACACTGGCACTGTGCTAAGTACTTTATATATATTATTTGATTTAATACTTTCTATTCTTGCTATTCAAAATGTGTTCTGTAGAGCAGCAGCACTGGTGCCACCTGGGAGCTTGTCAGAAATGTAGAAGCCCAGATCCATTGCAGACCTACTGAATCAGAGCCAGCATTTTAACATTCAGGCTTAGAAATTAAGTAATGTCACATGTTGGGTGCCCTGGGAAGCAGAGACAAAGAGAAGTTTCTGAGAAAGTGTTCTTAGGATCAACACCAGCAGAAAGAAAGAGGGAGGGGAGGAAGCAGGATTGGGCAGAAGAATCTGGGCTGTGATGAAGTCTTAAGAAAGGTCCTCAGCTGACTGACCTTGAAGGAGCCCTGAAGTAGAGACTGCCCTGTGGTTGTCCTGAGTAGGGGTGAAGGGCCTTTATACCCCTGCACTCATCGGTCACTGGAAGGAGGTCTCCCAGTAGAGGAGTGTGACCCTGGGTGAGGAGGTTCTCTTCAGTTGAGGTCATTCCTGAAGAGGGTGGAGAGCTGCAAGCAGCATTCCCAGAAGCTGGGGAATAGAGTAAGTTCTTTATTCCAGGAGGATGATGCATGACAGCATCTACTACAAGCAGCATTCCAAGGTTACCCCATTATTAAAGGGTGGAGCTAAAATTCAAACTCACTTTTATCAGATTACAGACTACAAAGCCTACTGATTATACTGGCAGTTCCTGACCTCTATCTCCCTAATCAACCCAGCACATACCTCGAGCCCTATGCGGGCTCAGCTCCCTATGTGGGCAGAGAGTGTGAGCACAGGCTTGGAGTAGGTGAGTAGTTGCTAGGCTAGGAACTGAGCACTTTGGGTGAGTCAGGCCAGAGGGCTGAATTTCTCCCTATGCTTAGAAATATGTCACTCATAGCCTTCCTCCCCAGGGAACTAGTATGTTACCTTAGCTCATTCTTCTCTTCTGGTGAGTAAGAAAAGAATGATATGTGTGTTTATGTGTTTGTGTGTATTTCTTTTTTTGTTCCTTTATCTTGAGAAAATTTCTTTCCTCTTTGAAGCTTCCTTTATTGCTAGCTCCAGTGCAACTCAATATTTTGGTGTGAAGTTTCTAAATACCTTTTAAGGAAGTAAAATGACACTTTGGTGTTTATTTTTGAGTCTTTCTAAACGCTCACTTTCAAATACCTCATAAAGGCAACAGTAGCTGGAGTGACAAAGGCCTTCGAGACACAACGTCTCCAAGTCCTTGAGGATACTGAATGTTGCTCCATTCAAACTAGAGGGGTCTACAGGTGAGCAGGACAGCAGATGAAAACAGCAGAAGCCATCACAAGCAAAAGAAGATACTGGAGTTGGTTTAAAAATAAACATGGATTTAACACATTGTTTAGTCATAATTTGGTTGACTGATCTTGGAGTGATGGTCACAAGACAGAGAGCTATGTAGAGGACTAATTTTGGGGCATTGTTTATTTGCTTCTCTGATTATTAAAAACAGTGAAAAAAATGGTAGTCCAGGCTTCCAAAAGTATTCAAAAAGTATATTAACTTAATGTAGTATGATACATGAACTAATACTAAAATGAACTTGCTTTTTTTCCTGTGTCTTATGATACTAAATATTTAGGATTAATCATTCTGTGAAACTGATAAACCTGGGCTGAAGCCTGTGTTCAAGATTAGCCTTCCAAAGTCATGTGTTTCCAGGTAATTGTATAACAGCTATTTGCCAGCACTGACATTCAGAAAGCCATGCCTGTTTATGGCAGGGAGGTGTGTGGGGTATTCCTATAAGGAGTATGGCTAAATTTGAAATTCAAGTGTACTAACTAAAGGAAGAAATCTACTTAAAGCTGGCAGTATATAAGAAAAATCTACTTTCAAAATAGATAAATCAGGCAGCATTATCTGCTTTACAAAAGATTTCATCATCACCTTTCCATTTAAATAATAAGCTTACTAAGAAATTTGAGGTCTGAGTTAATTTTCAAGGCTGGATTTTGGGAATGTAACAGTTGTGAAAAGTAAGATGACCCTAATTCTCATATGTACCTTCTATTGGTCCTATAGTGACAGCATGTTGGAGCATCATAGTGAACAACAGCCTCTGGAGCTGGTGTGAACTACAGTTCCACCATTGACCGGCTGCGTGACCTTCGGCCAGTTACTGACTCTTTCTGTTTCAGTTTGCTCATCTACAACATGAGGATAAGAATAGACTCTTTTTCATAGGGTTGTTATGAGAACTCAATAAGTCAGTATTTGTAGAACATCTGGATAGTGCTTAGCCCATGATGAATGTTACATGTTTTTGAATAAATAAATACATTGAAGAAGCAAGTATGAATTTTTCCAACAAGACATACATTCCAGTTCCTCAATCTCTGCACGGGGATTGATGAATGTCTCAACTGTGTTGACCCAGGATTTGTACACACCTTGAATATGGCAAAAATTAGGCTCCACTATGTGAAGCGGAATTCAGATCTGCCTCTCCTGTTATGTGTGAGCTCCTCAAACTCAAATATATTCAAGATCATTGAATATATTATCCGTGTAACCTTGACATTAGCATGGTTTCTGGTTCACAGAGGTGTATTTGTAAAAGGTTTTTGAACAAATCAGTAAATCGAAGATGTGCACGCTTCTCTGTTTTGTGTCTGTAGTGATAGTAGAAACGTATTCTTTTGGTAAGAGAAGAAAGTATTTTCTCCCTAGTCTTTTACCAGATTTTCTTCTTTTTGGGTTCTCATACCTGTTCAAAAGAGAATAAGCTTTTGTTCTTGTAAGTTCTGCAAGCATTTTAAGAAATTCTTAATGTCAATTCAAAAGAGGAATAAAATTGGCTTTGGGAACATACATCTAAATCTCAGTGGCTGAAGAATTATTACAAATCCAGCTGCCCTGGCTACTCAGCCCAGTGCAAGGAGCTTGGAGTTGGCCATCACAACCAGGAGTCTTGTGGTCACTGTGTGTCTGTGTGCATATATGTGTTTACTTGACTGCATATGTTATGAGGGGCAAGAGGCAGTGTTTTATGGCAAATCATTCTTTCACTGGATGGAAAAAGCAGGAACAGTCACAATGAGTTGATTAGTAAATCTACTACCCAGGAGATATTACTGGATTGTCTGTTAGTTGAGAAAAAATTTTGACTCTAGTTTAACTTTCTGTTTTTAACACTCTACAGTCCTTGCCATTTTCAAAATTTCAAATGGGGTCTATTGGAAATTGCGTGAACTGAGAGAGAGAGTCGTATTTCCTGGAACAAATCTAAGGATACGAGCAGCAACCAATGTCTAGTCACCTAGAAGAAGGAGGTTGATTTTGCAAAACTGAGACTTGGTATTATATACAGCATTTACTTTTTTAAACAGAATAATACAAATTTTTCAGCTTTTAAAAAAGTGAATGTGGAAAGAAATGAAAAATATACTCCTAAGAGAAGACGAAAAAATCTTTCAAATATTTTATACACCTATCACATTCACAAAAAGCACATGAAATACTCAAAAACAAATTAGTGAGAAGTAGTTGGTGATAGAATACTTCTAACAAATGTTTTACTTTTAAATGCAAACATTGAGATTTAAGATTTAAGATTAATTATTATTGATTACAATTAATATATAACATAGGTGCAGACAACATGGCATAATAAAAACTTACATACCCCAGGTAGCACTTGCAAAGCATTATTATCCATCCACAACTCCCTTAAATTTTGTATTTGATCCAGAACTTCAGGCTGGGAGAGAGGTAGGGAGAAAGGAGAGAGGAGAAGAAAACTAAATTAGTATTTTCTTATCACAAATATAAGATTTAATTTCTTGGATCTTGAATTTTTATTTGGGAATTTAGTGTTAATCCTCTAACAAATTTCAAGTTTAACAGACCTCCAGCAAAACTGTAGTCCTTGAGGTAGCTAACCTAGAATTGATGTGGAAACAATCAGAACAACAATAATAAAAATTAAAATCTGTTACTGCCCCTTAACACCCCATTATCCTTTGTAGCATTTATTACACTCTACTTAAGTATTTGCCTTCTTCACTAGCATATAAACTTTTGAGGGGGAGAGTAGCGTTTATTTTTTAATCACTATATCATCACATGTCCATTGTTTGCCATGGTACTTGGCACACAGTAGGTTCTTCTCATGTGTGAGCATTAGCACCTTACACACAAACACCTACACACACACACAGGCATTACCTTACCATGATGTGCCAACAGTATGAATAAGACTCACTTCTCATCCCTTCATTTACTCAACAAATAATTATTTGTTGAATAGTGGGGATGCCTAATATGTGAAAGGCACAATGCAGGATCCACAGTTACCAAATCCAGTTCCTGCCTTGAAGTAGCTGATCATTTAATTGGGAAGACAGATGCATACAAATAACTAAAACACAAGGCAGCATGTGTGAGAAAAGAATAGTGCAGAGAAGTTCAGAGAAAGGAGAGAGAGAATATGCTCCAGGTGTAACAGATAGTGCACAATGAAACACTTTAATTCCTGAACTAGAAGCTGTCTCTGATTCTATCTCCCGGGCAGCAGACTACGTGGAGGGGATAGAGATTGCTCTTGCTGCCACCATCATTCGTTGATTTGTGATGACTTTTCCTGATTTCTCCACAGAAATTGCCCCCTCTCCCACTCTAAGGCCACCTACTTCCCTTTAAGTTGCTTCCTTTTCAGCACACCAGGGGAGCTACTGAGGCCTAAGCTAATTAGTGCACTGTATTCACCTGTCAGGGGGATTGGTTTCAAGGACGGGGAACATAATTCAATCAGAGAAGATAAGAAGCAATGGATCTGTGGCGGGGACTTCCGGGCACAAGACTCTTGCTCTTCCCTGACGGATTCAAAACTGGAAGGGTATAGCCTTGGGAGCTTCAGCCATGAAGAAAAGGGGAGAGCCTCTTTGAATTAAAAGATGGATCCTAATGATATCATATTATCCTGGAATTAAGCCACATCTGAAGCCAAATTTTTTGTCTCCTTCACCTGAAAGAACTATCACTGAAACAAGATAAAACATAGTTCAATAAAATTTGGGGCTTAATTAGGAAAGCTAGTGAATTTTATAGAACACTAGTGTGAAAGAATGGAATTGTTAGGTTGTCTTTTCGTTTTGTTGATGGTTTCCTTTGCTGTGCAGAAGCTTTTTAGTTTGATGTAGTTCCATTTGTTCTTTTTTTCTTTTGTTTCCCTTGCCCGGTCAGACATGGGACTTGAAAATATGCTGCTCAGACCAATGTCATAGAGCGTACTGCCTATGTTTTCTTCTAGAAGTCTCATGGTTTCGGGTCTTACATTCAAGTCTTTAATCCATTTTGAGTTGATTTTTGTGCATGGTGTAAGGGAATGGTCTACTTTCATCCTTTTGCATGTGGCTGTCCAGTTTTCCCAACACCGTTTATTGAAGAGAAGATATTTGCAAACCACATATCAGATAAGGGGTTAATATCCAAAATATACAAAGAACTCATACAGCTCAACAACAAAAAAACCAACAATCCAATTAGAAAATGGGCAAAAGATCTGAACAGAGATTTCTCCAAAGAAGATATACAGATGGCCAACAGGCATATGAAAAGATGCTCAACATCATTAGCTATCAGGGAAATGCAAATCAAAACTACAATGAGCTATCACCTCACTCCGGTCAGAATGGCTATAATTAACAAGACAGGAAACAACAAATGTTGGAGAGGGTGTGGAGAGAAGGGAACCCTTGTTCACTGCTGGTGGCAGTGCAAACTGGTGA